GAGTGCATTTCTCTGTTGAGAGCCAGTTGACAGGCGTTGCTGGATAAAAGCAAAACTGGTAGGGTTTTTTTTTTATATTTCATGGAAAATACTGGACTGTCATGTCCAGTCTCTCACATTCTCATTTCTCACGATCTGATTCCCATGTCTGTGTACCAGCAGAGCTCCAGTGAGAATTGCTTTGTGCTGGGTATCATCTGCAAAAGCAAGTTAGGGAGGAATGGAGTTCTCTACCCTTGTTTTTTGTACCTAAAATTTCACAGTTAGTACATTGTTCTTCCAAATAGCTCAATTTTCTATTGCAAACCAGTGAGACAATGGACTGTAAGCAAGACTTTTATTTCATCTGAGACTGGGCTATATCTGAATGATGTGTGGAACTTGAGAAGGCAAAAAACAAAACAAAACAAAACAAAATAGATGTCTGTTGTCTGAATAACCTTTTTACTGTACTTTGTCTCCCTTCCTTCCATTTACTTTCCTAAGCAAGCATGTAGTAATATGAGTTAAGGTGATTGTCATTCCTTTTACTAAGCCTTCAGTGTCTTTTGAAAATCTTAAAGTCTTGCTGAGTATAGAGGGAATGGCAGGGATGAAACATGATTAACTCAAATAGGAATTGTTTTGAGCAGTCAGTTCCACATCAGATAAAAAAATTTGTTTTGTTTTGTTTTAAATTGGTAAGTCCAAGATGTCTATAAGGTGTATAAAATGTAAAGTTTGAGTAGCACACAATTTATAGTGGATTGGAGTGGAGGGATTCACTATAAATAAAAAGGCTGCACTACTGTTTTCTCTTGTAAATCACAGGTGTTCAGAGCAACAAGTTGGAGAGATAATTCATTTTAGACTAAAGAATTCAACTTCTTGATATGTAATAGCCACAGAACATCTTGGGAACTGGTGATATATCACATATGACAAAGGATGATGCAGCACAGCCCGTAGGGATTATGACATATTGCTGTGAATATTCAGAGCTGCTCTTTCCAAAATAGCCAAATGCTGTTCTGTCTAGAGAAGTCTGCACTTCTTAATGCCCTCTCAGTATTCCTCAGAATAAAAGAGAAATGCTAACTTGAGAGGGCGCTAAGAAGTATTTACAGATTCTTAGTTTATTGAGCTATAAGAATGACAGATTCAAGAGCAGGGAAAGGATTTCAGCTTCCACTCTCTGTCTGCTCCCTCCTTAAGAATCTGGTATCTTGCTCTGGAGTACCTATGAGAAATAAGGTTTTTCTGGCTACTTCTGAACAGTGATGCAGACCTGAGTTATCAACAAAATATGCAGTAACTTAATTCCCAGTGCAGCTGATCCTTAAATGGCTGGCCTGTGTGTGACATAAAAGAAGTCATTTATGACACAAAAAGCTTATTTTACTTCGACCTCTGTTCTGAGGTTCTGAAAGATCTATTTATTTTTTTTTTAAATCAATCTGGTAAATCATACCTGATTAGAATGGAGATTTCTAAAGTGCTTAATTTACTTTTTCAACAAGGAACATTCTCAAAAAGAAAAACAAATTCATTTTCTAGCACTTTTAGCCATACTGTCTGTACCATCAACTGCACTTGTATGAGGGGCAGGGAATTTGGAAACTGTAATTTTGGGAATATGTAAAGTATTCTTTGGGTAAAGAAAAAGGAGGTTGCTGTTTAACTGAATTTCTGCATTCTATCCCTCGTTACCTGAGATCTATTGAGGCCTGGTGCTCTCCCAGCTTATGCACACCCAAAAATTCCTCTGCGAATTATTGCTTTGTGTTGATTTACTCAGAACAGCGAAGTGTTGATTTACCAGAACAGCATGCTCACAAAACCTGTCATAAAATAGGCAGCTTTATCTCTAGAACAAACTTCATGCTTATTGTGCTTGTTTTCACCATGATGGGCAGTCTGAAGAGTCAGACCAGCGGTACGCACTGAGATAACATTGTGCCCGCTGTTGACTAAACCTATCAGATTAACCCACTACTAATTTTTGACTTAACAAATACTAATTACAAATTAATTTTTAAAACATGAAATTTCACTGAACGTGGACTATGCATATCTGGCAAGGAATCTTTAAACTGCTTTGGTAATACATAAGGGGGCTAGAAAAATGGGGATGGAGCTTGTTCCACAGCAGCTTTTCTCTTACCCTCTCTGAAAAGCCTGTTGACTGTTCATTTGGTGGTAAACAGGTTCTTGCTTTCCTAATCAAATATCCCAATAAGAATGGTACAGACTATTGACACTATGTTGATGACATGGCATTTTCACAGAGATTTTCAGGGAGGTTCTCATGCTGTTGGCTTGTAATATTCAATTATTTCAGTAGCATTAGCTGTATTTCAGCAGAAATTCAAGCCAAAAGACATGAAACACATTTATATTTTGATTGACCAGAAATGTAACATTCTTGTAAAGATGTTCATAATAAAAATTATCTGTTTTAGACTCCATTGTAGCGGTTCAAGTGAAAGCAGAAAAACATTTGAAATTAATTCTGTGAAAGTGTAAGATATTTTATAGAAAACAGCAATGCCTATTCCAAGTATGTACACTTAAAAAAAAAGATAAATCAAGATGCCACAAGGAGAAAAGTAGTCTTGAGGCAATCCTAGAAATGTCATGAATTATAATAATTTTCTCCCAGACATTAATGCATTTCTAGGCAAGTCATAAAATTTTGAATGAATTGTAGGAAATTGTTATATCAAATGATATAACCATTTTCTGTAAGGGTGGCATATTCAAACTGCAGTCATGCCCTTATTGTACAGAGGAGAAGATAATCTTAATTCCACTTAAACATTTTTATAGGCTTTTTGCATAGAACACCATCTGATTTTAATACAGAAAGTAAAAAATAATCACTGTCTTCCTGTAGCTTGCTCTTCACAGAACTTGCAATAAGTACATTTCCTTTCAAATTAGTTCCTGCAGTGATTTCTGAAGCTTGCTCAGTTAGGCGTTATATTTTGGTGCGGTGAGGATATAAGACAAAACTCCGTACAGGTCAGTCAGTATACACACCCTTATGGACCCACGAGTCATCATCTGAGAATTCCCAAACTGAAGCATTATAGGAAATTCACATAGTTTTTACAGTTAGTAGGCTTAAAAATGGATTAGAAGTATTCATCCTTCCCCCACTTTGTTTCCACCTCTATGATTTCTCACCTTACTCTTCTGGTACAACATACTTGTCATTAGAATTCAGATTTGTCTCTGCTGAGTTTAGGAGAATAAAATAGACTTCATTATTCATATTTTACTGCAAATTGAAGACAACGAAAGAAGCCAAATAGTCTAATAATTTATTTACATTTTCTAAGTAAATTGTGATGCTGTTCTGTATATCGGTTTTCCATACTGCCTGTGAACACAGAAGATATTAAAAAGCAGAAAGAAAAAGGAAATGATACTTTGCAGTCAGTTTATGCAGTTCATTTTATCATGAGCAGATACTTGCTACTTTTCTATTTCTTTGCTGTTCCAAAATGTATTTAAAGAGAATATTGCAAGCCTTATTTGACAGTAATTCTACATCTTTCAGAACTGCTGTTATATGGCGATCATTAAGTGTTTAATCTGTATTTCTGAGCAGATCTATTCTACAGTAGCTGAGGATAAATTAGAAGAATTATCTATTTGTCCATTTTAATTGTGAGACAACTCCTGGTCATGCTCTGAGCAGCATAAACATAGCCCTAACCTTGTATTGTCTATAATCTGTGTAAGCACTTATGGGAAGAATGTGAGTTCACTAGTTTTCCTATCTGTATTGGGAATTGATGATACAGGGCTTGGGGTAAAGATCTTTTACAGTTTTGAGCACAGTGAAGACTTCACCTTACTTTCAGCCTATTGGTACACATTTATATATAAACTTACACGAAATTAAGAAGAAGGGATGGAAACTATATTCTTATGCTGATGCAATGATTGGCCAGAAGAATCTTGTCCGCACACAGTGAAAAAGTAAGAGTAGTGCTAATAGGGAAAGTGAGTAACTGCAAGGGAGACAAGGCAAGGCTATTTAGACCCATTCAGCTGAATCAAGCAGAACAGAGATAGCTGTACCAACTACTGTTGTTAAAAAATAGGAATATATAGAAAACTGCTATAATTATTTAGGTGAAGTTTTTTTATAGTCACATATTTTTAGAGTAAAAAATTTGAAAACTCTTTAAGACTTGTTTCATATCAGATCACCCTCTCAGTAAGCATTTTGTAAAAAGACTGAACAGAAAGTGAATATGAAAATAGATCGTGAAAGATTACTTTAAAAACTGAAAGACCTTTGGTATAATTTTCATCTCTCAATGCCTTTTACTTGTTGTATGTAAGTATATCAAAGATAATTTCTCAGTGTTTTCCCTAAATATAGTCAAAATAGTATATTTTGCTACATTTTAGTCTCTGAAAATCAATAATGGAGTTTTGGTTGTCAATTTTTGTGCTTCCTCTAGTCTTTCAATGAAGGACGTCAATTTTCACATGATTATAAAATGACTGATTTGGGTCAGAATTGCTTTCAAGTACAAATTATGTCTGAAGGATGAAAAAGCCCTTATGTTCTGATTTTTGCTATATAGTAACTACAGGTACAGAAAAGAAAACATTGTTGTGAAACACTTGCTGTGATGTGCAGTTTGCATATAGTAGTGGAATCTTCCCAAAATCCTGCATTCTATTTGGCAGATGACAAAAGACCAATTTCATTTTTATAAAATGAGAAACATTGCTGTTTGCCAGCTTGTTATTGTTCACTGCTATGTCTTGATCTAAATAAAAGTTGGTCTGTGGGTCCTACAGTCTCTGAAGGCTCTACATACACACGTAAATAAGTGGTAAGGACTGCATAGTAGAATTACAGCATTTGTGTTTGGTTCTCATATTAATATGGTATTAGACTTCTAAAATGAATAGGTAGAAAATTGTATGTGTTATCATGAGAACATGATCAACCTATGCATCTCTTTAAGATTTTGATTTTTTTCACTTCTCAGGTTGATACAAGATAATGTAGGAATGGATATCTCCTTTGCTGAGGGTGTATTGAGCCCCAGTTCTACAGAGATGAGGCCTGGTAAGAGAAGCCATTGCTCATTTTCTTAATTATAGCTTAGTCCCTTTAATTATGTCATAAGAAAGATGTTTCTGTACTGCTAAAAAAATAACAAAATAAAAAATGTTAAATTTGTTATATCTAGTCAGTTTTTTTCTTCTTTACAATTATAATTGTACTATGCACTTTCCTCTTGTACGTCATTGCCATTGCTTGTTTAGTCCTTGCAGTGTTTAAGTAGCTGCTGTTATTTATCTTGTATGTGAATACTATAACTGAAATAAGTTATTATATAATTGAACTAGGAATATTTCAAGTACACCTTGAAATGTGGCACATTATGCAGTGGTAAGGGGCAAAGCTATACCTAACTTCTATTTTATTGAAGACTACTTCTGTTTAAGACTAGACTTGAAAGTCAGGGTTTTATTTGCTTGTTTGTTTGTTTGTATTGTTTGGTTATTTTATATTTAGTTATGTCTAAAGACATAGCTCCAAGACATAACTAAAGACATATATTTAGTTATGTGATAAAGGCATACTTACAAATCTTTACCTCTTGCATAGCAGAAGAGGCATAACAAAACAGGCAGGAGATTTTAGCTTATATCATTTTCATTAGGATTCAGCCCTGTGTTTGTGATTTATATATTTTTCTTTTAAATTTTAAACCCTGTGGATCAGACTGTGTGCAGAGCTTCAGTTTTGGTTGGTAACTCTAAAATAGTGTACCTGGGTTTCACATAATTTAAATGCTTCCAGCTACATCTGCAATCCCTGTACACGCTTGTTGTATTTTTTTAAATATTAATGTGTAATTTTTCTGTGTAGTAGTAGTAGTGATAGTAAGTGGTCTTTAAGTGGGTTGTTGTTTCTAAAATTATCTTTCCCAGTGTGCTTGATAGTGATTCGTAAGTGTGCGGGAGACAAATTTCATGTGGGAGAAATAAAGTTCTCTTTTTTATCTCTTTTTTCAGAACCTCCCAATTCTCTCGATCTTAATGGTACCCATCCCAGAAGGATAAAGCTCACGGCTCCAAATATCAACCTTTCTTTGGATGAGAGTGAAGGTTCTATACTTTCTGATGATAATTTGGATACTCCAGATGAAATTGATATCAATGTGGATGACCTTGACACTCCTGATGAAGCAGACTCTTTTGAATACACTGGACAAGGTAGTTTTCTTGAATGTAGATGTAGAATACATCTCTGTTTCTTCATTTACTGCACTCTTGTCCATTGGGCTATCAATATGTTTAGTGTATTTTAAATAGAGTTTGAGGTTTCCAGATATTTTTTTCTGCTATTTTGTTCTCCTGTGTAAAATAATACATTTGACCAATGCAGAGTGTGGAAAGAAATAGTACAGCTAATCAAGTGACAGAATAAAATAAGAGCTGTTTTCAGAGTACCAGAAGAACCATATAGGAACTAAGTTCCTATAAAAATGTAAAAAATCATAACTTTTTTACAATCTACAACAGAAAGAAACTTCAAAAAGAAATACATTTAGATTTTCCCTTGCATTTAAATTCTTTGTTGCTAGTTAGGTCACTATTATTTGAAAACTGTAGTTGCATTAGTTTAAGTTGTGTTGCTGAACAGGCTTTACAATGTAGTCAGTCATGCAGAAGCATCTCTAATGTCATTTCTCATTAGAAGACAAATTTCCTCATGGGTAGATGCAGAGGATCTGATGAATTGTTAGATGTTTGGAATATTCTGCACCAAAGAATTGATCTAACACACGCACAGAGTTTCATAGTGTTGTGACCAATGTGAGAGCCAAAATCTGTCTGCTGTGTGGCACATTTTGCCTTTTTGCAAGGCCTGAAGTAAGCAAATTCAACTACAGTGATTTTGGTGGCATTTATATTTATTGAAAGGATTTATCCCCAAATTTTTTTTTGTATTTTCTAATTGTGATTATTGGTAATATTTTTACAGTTGTGCAGTTTGACTTTAGATATTCTTTGTTGGCAAAGCATCCTTCAATTACTTGAGTCACAAGGTAATAGAAAAGGAGAAAAACCACATATTTTATTAAAATAAGCTCTTGATAAAATGAGGAGGTTATGCATTATGGATCAGATAGCTAACAGTAGCCATAAGAGCTAGAGCAGAATGGTTTAAATGCATGGTAGCTAACCTCTGTTAAAATCGTTTTCCATTCTGTCACTCTAGTGTAACCAGTACATGCTGTGCTGTTACAGCTTTCATAATCTCCCCCACATCATTGTTTCTGGAATACTATGACAAATCCATGTGAATACTAAGAAGACATTGCTGTTGAAACTGTAAAGAACAGTGACTTTCTAGCTTGTTACCCTCAAACTGCTAAGTGCCTGTTTGAAATGTAAAAGGCAACTGAGAAAAGCAAGACTCGTTGCTAGAAAACTGACAGTTCTATAGAACAAGAAATGCTGAAACCCCCTAGTGTAAAAGAATGATGAAAAAGAGTCAGTACATGCAAGAAGCTAGATGAAAGTGGAAACACTGAAGTCTTAAACTAAGTCTTAAAATTGACTTACTTAGGGATTGGTAAACATCAGTTTCACAGTTTTGTGACATCTGAATCAAGAAGAAACTGTGCTCGACATGTATCTTTTGTTCTGGGGAGCATCGTATTTCTATCAAATTTTGCAGAATTGCTGAGAAGTTTTATTGCAGAAACTGGTTTTACAAATTAATAATCATTGAATATGTATGTGTATTTATGGGTAAGCTTCATGTGTGTTGACATATGGTTTGCACACACAGTCCTTTTATTTCTGGCTTCATAAAGATTATTTAATTCATATGACAAACTTGTGTGGTTTAAGGACCACGTACTTCTATTTGTGTATTTATATGAGCAGCATTAATCAAAGAGGAATCCAAAGATAAAGCAGTTTGTAGAAAGATTTGAGGGCTTTTGTTAAGAACTGTGTTCTTAACATCTCATCAAATAACATATCTTCCTCTAATTAACTACCAAATCTTCTTGTGAATCTCTTTCAAATAATACGTCACATGTGTCACAGTGCATTTCACTATATCTTTACTGCTACCTTATTTCTTTACTTATGTCTTTCGAACCAAAATGATGCTTCATAGATAAGAGTTCATTTCACTGGTTTATTTGAAACGTATATGAAGGATAAAACATGCAGGATTTTTACTATCTTTACTGCTAGAATAAATTATTAATAAACCAATAGACTGACTAATACATGTTCTTCAACAGGAGTAAGAGAACAAAGGAATATATATATAAAATGTTTGGGTTTTTTTTTTCCTCACAAGAAGGCACTATGTTATAATAATTAAAGGATTACATGAATTTTTTTCTACCTGTAGACAGAACCAGCTTGTAACTAGCTATTAAGACTGAAAAACTGGAATGAGGTTAAATTTATTGTGAGAGCCACCTTGTCAGCGTGCTATGGGAGTATAGGTTTTGTTCATAAGCTTCAGGGTTTTTCTGAAGATAAGAGTGTCCAGCAGAGAGGCTATGCTATGAGACTATAATCTCCAGTCAACCACACAGTTTATTTCTTGTGATTTTTGTGCTTGTGGACACTATGCACTTTCATATGTCCTGGTATGAACATGCCAGATTTCCTGGCTGCTTCTTCTCTGGAACAGAACTGAGAGGGAATTTCTGTTCAGTCTTTCACATTCTGGAAGGGAATTCAACCTTGGAGAAAAGATCCTGAGGGACATGAATGCTGCATTTGAGGCATGCAGGTAGTCATTACCTTATGACAAAAGCAGAGGAACTCAGATGTACTTATGGCTATTGGATGCAAAGAGATTGGAGGAAAGCTGGGATGGGATGGAGGAACAAGTTCAAAAGCTGTAGCTCTGTAGTAATTCCTCTCTAGAGAGGAGACATCACTGTGTTCGTTTTTAGTTCCAAAATTTTGCATTTTAGCATAGTTCTCATGCCAGCAACACAAAGAATTTTTAAGATCTGCAGGTCAATACCTACAGTAAGCAGCTGGTGACTTGTATGTACTTACTGAATGTTACTGGATGTACTTACCAGGTGTATGATCAATGAATATACAGATGTTATAATTATGAAATATACAAGAGAGTTTGGCTAAGCAGGTTATTACACCAAAAAAGAATAGTGCTTACCCTTGTCCTAGGCTCACTGTAAAACTCCAAAGGAGGCATCTCCAGAAAGAGATCCTTCCCCACTTGTGGTCAGCTCTTAATTGTGCCTAGGAGGAGTGGAGCCAGCTCCATCTCTTCCAGCAGCACAGGTGAGTTGCCTTCACTTGTGCTCTGAGGGCTGACTCATTGCTCACCTCAGGTGATGAATCAGAGGTTCAGGCTGTGATTTAGCAGTTCCCATACACCAGGCAAACACAAAAATTCACTGCTGGTATTGTGCACAGTGATTATTGCTGTTATTCTTTCTACTATCATAATGATAAAAAGTTAAATAAAAGCAGAAACGTCATTTACTGACTGGTGAAATTCTGCTTTTCTTACAAAAGCACAGATCCAGGCTATAAAAATCCAGTTGATACCAATTATCTACTTCAAATGAATATAAAAGGTAAAATATTTAGAGCCTGTACATGAATATGTAATACATAAAATGTTATTTTTCAGAAGAGCGGAATGCTGCTAAGGATGCTTCCCAGGAGGAGTCTGAATCAATTCCAGAATACACTGCTGAAGAGGAGCGAGAAGACAACAGGTTATGGAGAACAGTGGTTATAGGGGAACAAGAGCAAAGAATTGATATGAAAGTCATTGAACCTTACAAAAAGGTTATTTCACATGGAGGTAGGAAAAGTTGGAATGTATTTTTTAGATTGATGTGAAAAATCATACTTTGATAATCATGATTTATTTCTATTTTATTTAGGCTATTCTACTGGCAATGAGATTTTATTTTTCAGCCATGGCTATTAGCAATTAATTGGCAAACTCTGTCAAATTACAGAAGCGTTATTGTGTCTTACAACCCATAATGTTATGAATAACAAATTTCAAGCTTTGATTGGAGTAGTAAATGAACTACTGACATAGCATCAAAGTGAGCCGTCCTATTTTCTGGTCATTCGATGCTGATTCAAAAAATAGTTTGAGTAGATATTATCAGCTGGAGACCCCAAAAGGCCTTCAAAAGATCTGAAGTCTATTACAACTTTTGGAAGCCTAGTGGGAGAGTATTTTCAGAAAAATAATATTTATCCTTGCAAGTCTTTCCTACTCAATTAGAAGATCAGCCAGTGTTTATTTTACACTTTCCTGCAGTTGGCTCTGTACCTATAAAAGTGGTGGCTGACACAGGAAAACTGTAACCTTTACAGATAGACCTGGTCTATATGTGTAGCACGGAGCTAAATTTTTCTTGGAAGAGATAGAGAGCCTAATTTTGATCTGCTTTACATTTCTATTGGCAGTGACTACATAAGTGAAACAAGTAACAAAGTCAGATAACCAACATAAACCAGACTTTTCAATCTGGCAATTGATACTTCAAATGCAAAGCACTTTCATATGCAACAAATAAACTGAGATACATGTGCCAGTAACAGTTTAGTCATTGTCCTACAGAATTATTTTTTTTTTTAAACTTCATTTTCTTGGTTGTAGCATACTTACTATATCAGAGAATCACAAAATAGCCCGGGTTGGAAGGGACCTCAAGGATCATGAATCTCCAACCCCCCTGCCACATGCAGGGCCACCAACCTCCCCATTTAATACTAGACCAGGCTGCCCAGGGCTCCATCCAACCTGGCCTTGAACACCTCCAGGGATGGGGCATCCACAACCTCTCTGGGCAGCCTGTTCCAGCATCTTACCACTCCATAGTAAAGAACTTCGCTCTGACATCCAATCTAAATCTTCCCTCCCTTAACTTAAAACCATTTTCTCTTGTCCTGCTGTTATTTACCCTTTCAAAGAGTTGATTCCCCTCCTGTTTATAGACACCCTTTAGGTACTGAAAGGCTGCTTTTAGGTCACTCCGCAGCCCAGCTCCCTCAGCCTGTCTTCATAGGGGAGGTGCTCCAGCCCCCTGATCATCTTTGTGGCTTCCTCTGGATCCTCTCCAACAGCTCTCTGTCTTTCTTGTAGTGGGGGTTCCAGACTTGGACCTAGTACTCCAGAATGTATGAATGTATGAAGAAGTATGGTGCTCTATGATTGTAGATACATAGGTCTAAATAATTGAAGTGGCAAAAGAAGAAAAATAGTTTTCCTTTGGATTTCTATTGCCATGGTAAAGATCCTTGTGTTATTTTTCTGCCATTTATAGTTGAAGCACAATATAAATTGTCTTGAAAGTCTTCTAAGGATTTTTAATCTATGTAATGGTAATCTCCTCTGTGTTTGTAAGGCATAGGAAAAAAATACTGCCTTATTCCATAATATTTTACCAAAGGATAGATAGCTTAACTCAGTGCTTTCTCTTTGAAACTGCGTGGGACTATGTCAGAAAAAGAAGACATAACAGAGACTTGAATTAAGGGGTGAGTGTGTGAGGTGAAATCTAGTTTTCCTCTTTTTATTTCTTTTAAGAAAGTTTTGAAATTCCTACATGTCAAGCTCTTAAAAGATGAAAGAGCTGAAAAGTGGAATGGAGCTTCCTCCCCTTCCCTGCATACGTCTGTGCTAAGAATGTGATGTTACTCTCCATATTTGACCTTAAGATCTTTGCTGTTACACAAGTTCAGTTAGCCGTATCTATGTCTAATGCAGTACTACTTGTTAGTACTGCTGGATCCTAACATCAGTTGGAGCTGTGCCACCTCATGCCATGTCACATGCCTTAACGTGGTTTTACCTGCATTCTTCTTTGGCTTGAACTCATTTGCTAATTCTCAAGCTTTTTTCCCTGTCTGTGTTTTCCAAAAAGATGGGGAACAAGGCAGTAGTGTGGAACTGCAGAAAACAGTGGACTTGCTGGGTTGCTGTTGTGTGGTGGCTTCTGTAGCTGCAGAAGCATATCTATAGATTAAGTAACCTCTGAGACCAGTGAGATATTACTGCACAGAATTAGGACATCCCTTCCATCTCAGAATTATGGAAGGAATGGAGTTTAGGCTAATGATAGGAAGCTGTCTTCAGTGTGCAGACTGTTCTGAAGTGGATGAAGTCTTGGTTTGCATTCTCAGCTTGATGTTAACAAAATAAATAAGTACTACTAGCTTGTCTAATACATTATATTTACTCAAACCTACCAAATCAAATCCAGAAGGAAAGAAGTCTAACATCATCCTTTAGCAAGCTGCTTTACCAAATCTTCTAATGAAGTAAAATGGCCAAAGGCTTATTTCTGACATGCAGGTTTTTGCCTCAGGGGCTTATCCTTTCTTCCTCCTCTTTGTAAGTGTTGAGGCAGTGGTGGTTTTCAGTCCTTTGAGAAACAGCTGAGGGTTCTGAATGAAGAGTGCCTTTGTGCTTCTTTATGGGTGGGATGGTGTCAAAACTAAACAGCTGTAATTCTCTTTGACATGCTCAAGGAAAGACCTCATGGGCATATGCCTTGAGACACTCCTTTGGTCTGGGATTATGCATTTTCCAAAGTCATAAAAAAGTGACTTCCTTGTCATCAATGTCATCTGGTTTTCCTACTTTCAGCTACTTGAGACTCAAGTGCTGAGTGATAAAGGAGAAAAAACAGTCTCTCAGTGCTTTCCCAGTTAGTGCACACAGACAGTGTGCCTTTCCATGAAGTATTCTGTTTTGTTCTGCTGCTGCATACATTGAATCATAGAATCACAAGGTTGGAAAGGACCTGCAAGATCATCTAGTCCAACCATCTCCTCATCACCGTTGCTAGCACAAGCTACTAAACCATATCTCACAGCTCCTCATCCAGACACCTCTTGAACACTGCCAGGGACAGTGACTCCACCACCTCCCTGGGCGGCCATTCCAGTACCTGACCACTCTCTGAGAGAAAAAGTTCTTCCTTATATCCAATGTAAATTCCTCTGGTACAACTTGCAACCATTTCCTTGGGTCCTGTTTGTTGCCTGGGAGAAGAGGCCAAATCCCTCTTCACCACAGCCTTCCTTGAGGAAGTTGTAGAGTGCAGTGAGGTCTCCCCTGAGCATCCTCTTCTCCACACTGAACAATCCCAGCTCCCTCAGCCGTCCTCATAAGGTTTGTGCTCCAGACCCCTCACCAGTTTCGTTGCCCTTCTCTGGACACGTTTCAGGGTCTCAATGTCTTTCTTGAAGTGAGAGGCCCAAAACTGAACACAGTACTCGAGGTGCGGCCTCACCAGTGCTGAGTAGAGGGGGATGATCACCTCCCTGCTCCTGCTGGCCACACTATTTCTAATGCAGGCCAGGATGCCGTTGGCCCTCTTGGCCACCTGGGCACACTGTCAGCTCATGTTCAGCTGAGCATCAACCATCACCTCCAGGTCCCTTTCCTCTTCACACTCATCCAGCCATTCATCTCCAAGCCTATAGTGCTGCATGGGGTTGTTGTGGCCAAAGTGCAGGACCCGGCACTTGGCCTTGTTGAACCTCATCCCATTCACCTCAGCCCAGCAATCCAGCTTATCTGGATCCCTCTGAAGGGCCTCCCTACCCTCAGGCAGATCAACACTACCTCCCAATTTGGTGTTGTCTGCAAACTTACTGAAGGTACACTTAGTCCCCTCATCTAGGTCATCAGTAAAGATATTAAGCAAGATGGGCCCCAGTACTGACCCCTGGGGGACAGGGACACCACTTGTAATGGGCCACCAGCTGGATTTAACTTCATTAACTACTATCCATTGGGCACAGCCCAAAGAACTGCCTGTCCAGGCCATGGACGGCCAGTTTCCCAAGGAGAATACTGTGAGAGACCATGCCAGAGGCTTTGCTGAAGTCTGGTTAGATTGCATCAACAGGCTTTTCCTAGTCTACCAGTCTGGTCACCCAGTCTTAGGCGGAGATGACGTTGGTCAAGCACAACCTGCCTTTCATGAACCTGGGCTGGCTGGGCCTGATCCCCTGGATGCCACCCACGTGCCATGTGATCTCACCCAAGATGATTTGCTCCATAACCTTCCCTGGTACAGGCTGACAGACCTGTAGTTCCCTGTATCCTCCTTACGGCTCTTCTTGTAGATGGGAGTCACATCGGCAAGCCTCCAATCCTCTGTGAGCTCTCCAGATATCCAGGAGCACTGGTAGATGGCTGACAGCGGCTCAGCAATCACCCCCGCCAGTTCCCTCCTCACTCTAGGATGGAGCCTGTCCGGTGCCATGGACTTGTGACAGTCCAGATGGAGGAGGGGCTCTCTAACTGTCTCCACCTGAATCACCAGGGTGGTATTCTGTGTAGCATCCCAGACTTCCAGAGCAGAGTGTAAAGTGTCCTGAGGATAACTGATCTGCCTATTACAGGCAGATAGATGTAAAGAAGGCATTGAGGACCTTAGCCTTCTCCTTATCCTCAGTGGTCACGTTCCCCGCTGCATCAAGTAAAGGATGGAAATTCTCCTTGGTTCTTCTCTTAGTATTGATATATTTGTAAAAGGATTTCTTATTTTCTTTGACAGCAATGGCCAATCTGAGTTCAAGTTGGGCTTTTGCCTTCCTGACTTCTTCCCTACCTACCTTAGCAACTTCCTTGTAATCTTCCCAAGTAGCTTGTTCCTTCTTCCGGACTCTCTTTTTCTTCCGAGTCTCAACAATAGTTCCCAGTTCATCCACACTGATCTTTTTTCTCTACAGCTCACCTTACAGCATTCAGGGACAGCCTGTTCTTGTGCCTTTAAGACTTCCATCTTGAGGAGTATCCAGGCTTCCTGGACCTCCTTACCCTTAAGGAGCAACTCGTCATGGACCTGTGCTACAAGCATCCTGCACAGGTCAAAGTCTGCCCTCTTGAAGTTCAAGATAGCGGTTTTGCTAGTCACCCTTCTGACATCTCCAAGTATACAGAATTCTACAATTTCATGGTCACTCATTCAAGGTACAACGTGTTTTGTGAGTATTTCACTGAGTCTTGAGTACTATTCACTAGTGTCCAGAAAACACTGTAAAAGTTTTTAGCGTCTTATGAAAGTGGTGCAAGGGTATTATCCTGGAACTTTCCTGGGAACGTGTTTGTATCTCCAAGGGAGGTGCAGAATTTCCTCCACAAACATTGTCTCCTTTGTTTGGTTAGTTTTTCCTAGCCTGTTCTGAAAACCTTTCAAATCTTCTTTCTTAATATATCCAGCCTTTATTTCTGTATTTCTTTAGTGGTATCTACACGCAATATTTCTTCCAAATCTTCATAGATTACTTTTTCTTTTCTCTTATCTTTTAAATAAATCCCAGACTTTCAGCTGAAGTGCAGAAGTATTTTATGTCTGTTTTGCAACAGTATAGCAACTGAAAAGAACTGTGAAGGAGATTGACCGGTATTAATATATCATGAAAAATAGCATTTTTTTTTTCAGGTAGCAAGTAATCACCCAGGAGCACAGAAATGTAGCTGTAGTTGTAGCTTTGAGAGGTTATCATTAGGCAGTGGTGGAGACAGGAGAACACAAGTACAGGGCAATTGGAGTATCCAAGATAAAGAAATACTTTATACAAAACTTGCAGCAAGGTATTTAACTGATCCTCAAGAGTTCTTAAAACACAGTGTCATGCAGACATACCTATAATATCCCAAGGCCTTTGAAGCTGCACAAGCCAGCTGAAATTGGATTTCAACTCCTTAGTAGTCATTATCGTAAAGATGCAGGATGACAAATGGAGGATATTTTCTTTGCTGCTTTATTCCTAAGGCTAAGGTGAGCATTCAGCACACAATTGCAATTGAGATGTAATGAGCCAGGAGTGCAGGTAACATTGTATTACTTACAAAGTAGAATGATTTTTTTTTTCTGGCTCTGTTCTATAAAAAAGTTTGCTTGTAGTTGTGTTAAGCCTGTGTTCCAGGAATTAAATGTTACTGATTATCCTTCATTATCACTTGATAATCATTCATTTATTTTGCATCTTCTTCAGCAGTAGATATAATCACTCTATTCCAAGACTTAGAGATTTCTTTTTAAATCTATCTTGTTAGGAGCCTTTGACAAAGATAAAAATGCCTTTTTGTTTGTTCCACAGGCTACTATGGTGATGGTCTGAATGCTATCATTGTGTTTGCTGCGTGCTTCTTGCCAGACAGCAGCCGAACTGATTACAACTATGTCATGGAAAATCTTTTCCTGTGAGTGTTATGTGTACAGTATGACAGAGTCGTCTCAAAATTCTGTAGTGAGAGATAACCTGTCTTTAATGAAGAGGTAATGTGGGTCATTAGAAGGGATGTGATTGGAATGACAAGGAGAGTAGCAGTTTTAGATAAACTGTTACACTGTGTATTATTTTGCTACTTTTTATCTACTCACCCTCCCAAATTTGGGCATATTTGTCAGAAGTAAATCTGACTGTAGTGTCTTCCTAAATGTTAATGAATACAGAATCTCCATCTTCTTGGAAGAGTTTCTTGGACATTGCACTGTTTTACCAACAATTTCCAGTCCTTGTAGAGAACTGCAGGACCTGCAGGGCCTGAGAACTCCAAATTGGCTTTCATTGTTTGTTTTTATTATGCATTGTCATGATACATCATTGTTATCATATTTTTAATACATACTGTGGCTGTGTTTAGGAGTCACAGGCACATTTTCTGATACTTGTTTAAAAAGTATGTGGTGAATAACAGTTGCTGACATAAACAGCATAAACTTTGTTTTTCTTACTCTAGCTGTTTCTGATTCAGCTACAGGTGGTTTCTGTTGGACAGAGCATGAATATGACCAAATAAACCCACATTTATCACAGTAGATTACTCTTAATAGCAACGTAGCTTGGTAGGCAAAAAATGTGACGGTGACAACTTTCCTAAGTGCCACCAGCTAGTTCCACTTACAGTTGCTGAAAAAATAAATCATTCTATATTATAAAACCCAATCTGTCAGTTCCACAGCCAGCAAAAGCCTGGCTTTCACCATCTGCAGCTTACAAGGCACAAAACCTTGCACAAGAGCATAAACCCAAGCTCTGAGTTCCAGTCCTTGAAGATGCACATGGTGACAGCCAAAGCCTTCAAACTTGGTCAACTTGTGAAAAATGAGACTGAGTGCTTTTGTTCTAGGTCAGACAAATTTTCAGCATTTGCCAGGTCAAACTTCTCATAATCTACCATAACTGATTTACGCTGCGCCCATTGGTTTAGATGGAAAGAATGACTGCGTTTTGATAACTAGTGCACAAAGCTGACAGTAACTGTGGCTGACATTAAACAGTTGCCCTCTGATGTCACCCAAAACTCTTGTCATAGGTAGAATTAGTAGAAACAGAGTTCAGATTGGCTTCAGCTAACTTTAAAGTTTAGAGATTTTTATTCTTTCTCACACAGTCAGAACAGGAAAATAGAAAGTCAAATCATCCTTGTTTTTCCTTTCTTTATTGGCCCATTAGTTGCATTTACCTAAAGGATACTTGACAGTTTACAAAATATCCAGTAACTGATAAGTTTAAGTATTTGGGAACTTTTCACTGTTAAGTCATAGGGGCATCTGGATATACAGGCAAATTATTATTAATTTTGTGTGTGTGTGTGTGTGTGTGTGTGTGTGTCATGATTCTGATAGATGATTCTGCAACTGCGGTATATAAGCCACCTCTAGTTTGTGATTAACAACTTTCAAATGTTTATGGTTTTCCAACTCCTTTCTAGTCTGTACTCACTACATATTTCTGGTTACTTTTCCTCTTATATATTACCTTAACTTTTCAAGCTGTCTTCGAAGAGTAGAGTTTGTGCCAAATTCTGAACTTTGAGATTGAATCTTCTCTTTTGAAGCTGACTGATATATTCTAGATATTAAATTTTATAACAGAATCACAACTTGTAAAACTACACTTTGAAAGTCAAAATAAACACTTTTTGTTTTCAGGCAGAGTGAATTGTTTTATTCTGTGAGGAAAATTCTGCCCATCTTTTCAAACAGTGAAGAAATTGCCATTATCATTAAATAGTAAGAAGCCAAGTTTCCAAGACACCATGGCATGCCTAAAACAGCAATGGGTCTATCTCAACCCACAGTGAATAAGAGCTGTTGTGGAAAAGTACTTGAGATAAATGAGATCTGACTAAAATATCACAAAAGCTTCCTTCTTGTTGCAATATTTCTCTTTATTCCTTATTATGAATGTTCATTATTGTAATTGATTGTTCATAATATTCATAATTTCCTTGTGGCTGAGTAAATAGGGGCATAAACATTTGTCAGATTTTTTACTTCAACTTTTGTCTCTTTTACTTCAACTAGAAGGGTGGTAGTATTTTTCCAAAGTACTTTCTTTCTCAGTACACTTTTCTGCATGTTTCACTGCCTAGATTTATTTACAGCCCAAGAAGTTGCCTTTTATGAAAAGGGCTGACTTCGTAACCTGTCAAGTGGTCAGTGGATTCATTTAAATTTAGTGTTTTTTTATGAATGTATTGTGCCCTGGGCAGTGGAGAGCTGTGCTGCACAGTGAATCCAGATTTAACCCTGCACATGCTGGACCAGCTGCATATTGCTGCTTGTTGGTAGGCCTTGTTTTTCTCTGCATCAGCTATGGCCTTGTTTGAACAATCCCACTCTTTCGTACTTCAGTGTACTTCAGGCAGAAGCAGCAAATGCACTAATGGCAGGTAGGAAAGAGCAATGAAAAGCATTTAGTGAGAAGTAGTCTAGATGGATTTATCAAATGCATGACACTATTCAGTCAGTTACTGCTTACTTCCTGTCCAGTTAAAATATTATCTCTCTGATGAGAACCAGATTTTCTATTCTTGTTTTGAAGAATCTGAATTGTGAGGAGTTAAAGGGTCAGATTAGATCATGAGTCACGCACATATACCTGATAAAAGGGTATTGTGGTCAGCGATACAGCTGCCTCTTACAGTGAGAACTCTCAGGCATTCAATTTTCTAAGGTGTGTCTCAGTATTTTTTCACTGTAGCTTTTACACAAACATACCTTGAGACTGGCGGGCAGAGAGTTCAGTTTGAGCACACAAGTGAGGCTGGCACTTCTGAAACTGATCAGAATATTTGCATGTGGACAAGAATTTAATGCTACCTTTTCATGTAACTCAATAGTCTGCTCTTCTGGTGGGGTGTATTTTGTCCTGAGAGTAATGGTCAGTCTAAATACTCTTTGCAGACCTGATAAATTTGGTATTCAGAGTGCTTTGCTCACAAAATGCAAGAGCTTGAACTGTGCTGTCCCATCTGAAGACAGATTGACAGTCAAGTTCCATTAGCTCTGAGAATCCGAAGACTTGTAGCTGACAGTCACAAAGATTCAGCAGTGGTAATCTGAAGATCATAAGAATTATAGACAGGTATTATCCCAACCCTTTTAATTTTGCATTTAACAAATGTGGTGATTAGTATTGAAGAGATATTTCTCAACAGTTGATCTTACAATGGCCTGAAATTTCAGTCAGTCCATCCATGCTCTCCCTCACAAACTCTCTTAATTTCAACATGTATTAAAAATAAATAAATAAATAAATAATTTCTACTCATAGTTATAGTGGTAGCATTGCGACCAGTTCTAAATTTCTGCTTTAGGTTTAAAAGAAAATAAAACTCTGTCTATAAATTACTGGTCTGTCTTAATGTATTCCTAATAGATGTTTTTTTACTGTATTTAAATAGATAAATATGTGCTCACTTACTTCTATTCTTTTACCAGGTATGTAATCAGTACCTTAGAGCTGATGGTAGCTGAAGACTATATGATTGTATACTTGAATGGAGCTACACCAAGAAGGAGGATGCCTGGGCTGGGTTGGATGAAAAAGTGTTACCAGATGATTGATCGTCGGTGAATAGTATTTTTCTTTCTCATCCACAGTTATTGTTTTAAGCACTGTTCATTTCTGTTGTTCCTCAGTATGATAGTGTTCATTATATATTATTTTTGTGAATGGTTTTCTTTTTTATTAACCTTTTAAATAAACTATTTTTTTTCTTAGTTTAAGGAAGAATTTGAAATCGTTCATAATTGTCCATCCGTCATGGTTCATCAGGACAATTCTGGCTGTGACACGACCTTTTATAAGGTAGGTAGTGAACACTAGTTATTTGTTATGTCCCAGGAATTCAGAATACAGAAAGAATACAGAAACAGCCTAAGTAATCCGAAATGGTTGTTGATCTCTCACTGATACAGTTCAGTTGAAGATGACTTCCCTACAAAGAGTGGGAAAAAAGTTTATTTATTTGACTTTTCTGTTGTTTAACTATATATGCACATGGAATTCTGAATTTTTTTTTTTCTTTTGTTTTGTTTTGTTTTGTTTTGTCTGAGCCCATCAGAAAGGCTTGAAGGAAAGGTTCTGTGGACCCTTTTCACTTTGTGGAAAAAAAACTTGACTGGAGGAAAGATTAAACTATTGTTCTGGATTTAAAAAAAAAAAAAAAAAATAGTAGGTGCTTATTCAAGAAGACTGCCCTGAGATGTTTGAGAATGTAGGAGAGTTGTTTCCAAAAAAAGTTCTCTACCACCCAAAAAACTCAAAAGAATTGTTAGACACTGAAGACCTTAAAAATGGGCAATTGTATGTCTGGAACCTGGAGATCAGGAGCATACACGGTCAGACATGAGAAAGCATTGCTCCATGCAAAAGAAGAGGCATCTTGTCTACAGAAGCCACACAGGGAGTATGTCATGACAAACTGGCCCTAGACTACAGAGGTGAATGCTGAAGATGTCTGTCCTATCAGAGTGTTCTATCCTGACAGAGTAACCTTGAAACGATGAAGGAAATTACTTCTCCCATTGCTGCCAAAGTGTGATAGATTGAGCACCATAGCAGAGCTTCTTCCTTCAGATGTGATGATTTTAGTAGAAAGTGATAACTGAAATTACCAGTGTGACATGGAAACAGTGCTTGGAATTGTCAGCAGTAATAATAGGGGATTCACTAAGTGAAGTACCAATGGGAACTGAAAAAAATATGGGCAAGACGTAATGTTGGTGCAACTTTGTAGAATCACAAAATGGTTGAGGTTGGAAGGATCTGTAGATCTCATCTTGTCCAACTGGTCTTATTCAACCTGGCAACCCAAAATATGTTGCCCAGGCCCATGTCCAGGCAGCTTATGAAGATCTCTGAGAAGGGAAACTCCAGAATATCCAGGCAACCTGTGTCAGTGCTCCATCACTCACATATTAAAAAAACTTCCCAATTTGTAGATAGAACCTCTTGTGTTCCCGTTTATCTCGTTGCCTCTTACACTGTCTCTCAATACCACCGCAAGGAGCGTGGGTATATATACATATACATGGTGTCACATTGATGATGTCTCTCTCTGAGCCTTCCCTTCTTCAGACTGAACATTCTCAGCTCATTCAGCCTCTTCTGCCTCCATCATCTTGATTGCCATCTTTTGGACTCTTTCCAGCATGGCAGTTTTCTTCTGTAGTAGGCAGCCATGAACAGGACTCAACACGCCAAGTGTGGCATCACTAATGCTGATAAGAGATGAAGCATCATATCTCTATCTCCTAGTGATGCTTTGCACAATCAAGCCAAGAATACCATTAGCCTTCTTAGCAGGAAGGACACATTGCTGGCTGATGTTCAGCTTGTTGTCCAAACTCGTTAACTTAGAAGATGAGTTGAAGATAGGAGAAAAATGAAGCCGTTTGGTGGACACAGGAGCACTGTGAGAAAGTTGGGTAAAAAAATTCTGGGAGGAATAAAAAGAGACAATCAGTTCAGTAAAAAGCAATGTAAGGAGAAATAAACTTGATAAACTTGATAAGGCTGGTGGATGTAGCTCAGTTTTCTAGCCTAAAACAGTTCACTGAATGACTGGCAAGTGCTTTGAGAAGTTCGGATGGAGAAGTGAATTGGTCCCAAGGCAAGGAGAAAATGTCCCAAGGCAAGGAGTAAATGTCCTAAGACAATGAGATAGCTAAACCATTTAATTTTGATTCCAAATTCCATTCCAAACCTGATCTGTACTCATCTAAACAAACGTGAACATTCAGTTGTATTATGTTTGAGAGTCATAGTCGAATATAAATGCCAGTTTGTTGTGATTACAAGGGTAGATAGTGATGGGACAAAGGGGAATGACTTCAAACTGAGACTGGGGAGGTTTAGGTTAGATATTAGGAGGAAGTTTTTCACACAGAGGGTGGTGACACACTGGAACAGGTTGCCCAAGGAAGCTGTGGATGCCCCATCCCTGGAGGCATTCCAGGCCAGGCTGGATGTGGCTCCGCGCAGCCTGGTCTGGTGGTTGGTGACCCTGCACATAGCAGGGGGGTTCAAACTAGATGATCACTGTTGTCCTTTTCAACCCAGGCCATTCTGTGATTCTATGATTCTATGATCACATGATGTTAATTTATTATGATAACTTTAATGAATTCTTTCCATATTTTTATATGTATTTATGCTTTAAAAAGTTTGGTTCTCTTTAGAATTTTTATACATCTCCTTGAAACTGTAGAACTAATCACATTGCTTTACAGTTTTACACAGCATTACAGTTTATGATACAGTCTTAAATCCTATTGTGCTTAGCCAGAGGACAGCAAAATGTTTAATCTTGATTTCAGCCTCATTAGAATTAAGGTATGCTCATGGCCAACCAAACTCTGTAACTGAAATATAAATAACCAAATGATATATAGTTATTTAATACATTAAACAAATGCCTTCTCTCCCTCTCTCTTTAAAGTATTGTAAAAAATATTGTGAAAAAAGTCAATTAACAGATGTTTCTGTGTCTCAGCTCTAAGTTCAGCAGTAAGATACAGTATGTCAACACATTGGCAGAGCTTCGTGAGATGATTCCAATGGAATATGTGCACATACCAGAGAGCATTGTCAAGTAAGTGATGTGCATAAAATGTGTATTTGGTCTAATAGAAGTAATTTTACAAACTAGGAACAGTGTTTCAATGTCTGTAAGAAGAATAGAATACCTCTACCCTATACTATTTAAGATGTTTATGTGTTGTTCCATAAGAACTCCACTATCAAACTCTGAGGTAGGAAACAGTGTGTTTTTGAAACACAAAACACAGTAAGTATGTAATCCTAGGGGAAGCAAAGCTTATAGGAAGAAGATTTTGTATTGGACCAAATGATGCAATTTGTAAAATAAAGACGATCTTTCCATCTCAGTTCCTTCATCATCATTTTTTGCTGAACAAAAAATCAAATGATTATAAGTGTGCCCATTGGAGGCAAGTATTTTTAAGATGTCACAGTATGAAGCAGACATGTACTCAAATCAGTGGAAAAAGAGCAGATATGTTCAGCTTCATGTTGAGAAAGATTATTGTAGCAAAAGAATACCAAATGCCACTTTAAGCAGTCCAATGTCTCCACTAGCAAGAACAGAAATACCACTATGATCATGAGATGTCCCACCTGCAGCAAGCGTATAGATTTGTGCCAGGATTTGGATTATGTGATTGTTTGGTAGTTTTTACTGAAGTGAGATACAGTGTGCCAGCTGTATCATATGAATCTGTATGTCTTTTCTCTTCCTTCACCCACTCTTGTAAGGTATGATGAAGAGAAGTGTATTAAGAGAAGAATGAGGTAAAATTTGCTTTCTAGCCCATGCTGCAGCTTATTGCGGAGTAAACCTGTGTGACAGCCAGTCACCAAAAGGTGACCTCAACAGCAGAATGGGAGAGGCCTTGCAATGGTTTGATATCCTGCTTTCCCCTTCAAGCTGTTGAGATCAGCCTTCTTTGCCAGCGAAACTTACCTATCTATAAATGTCCTTGATTTGGCCCAAGCTGCAGACAGTTTAATTCTTCTAAGCAGTTGTATGCTTTCAGCTCTATCTACTGGGCATGCCTCAGATCTCTGCTGCTTTTATGTTTCTGCCTCCAAATAATATAAAAAATGAGCTAGATATTAAAGGTGAGTTGAGAACAGGCATAAGTATTACCATAATGACTTGAAGAGCTTTAGGGCCAGTGCACAATACTGTGTGCCTATTTTAAAAGCATGTATTATATTTCTTCTTTGCTCTGCTATTGCTCTGCTTCTCTCTTACGCTCTGCTTGCTTCTTTGTTTCTTTGTATCAATAACTTTTACTCATGCAGACTGGATGAAGAACTGAGGGAAGCTTCAGAAACAGCTAAGTAAGATAGCTTTCTGCTGGTTGCTGGCATTGTATTTATTTGGTTCACAGAGATGGATTGAATGCTGTAGCATGTTACATGTTTGGTACAGCAGTCTGTTCATAATTTCAAGTACTGCGGAAGTTGCCACATTTGTGAATTGACTTCCCCTCTCACTATAGGCAACCTGCTATATCTTACAGTCTAAGAAGTGATACTCTTAGACTATAAAAAAACCCACGTTTTTTGCTACTTTTGTAATTGTTTCCATAGTCATGGGGAAGACTAAAGTTACTTTTTTACACTGTCAAAGATTTTTATTACATATTTTCTCTCCTTTGTATGTTGGATGATTAATATAAACTTGGGAAGATAAATCTTCTTTAAAACTTGTTTTACAATTTATGAAGGTAATAATAGCTATTGTACTTATTTCTCAGCTTTTTCTATGTCTTTTCCTGTCTTCCTGCTATTGTTTGGAAGGGCTGGTGGATTAATGCTTGATAATGTTATATCACTATAAGGTACCTTAAAAAGTCAGTGACAGATGATGATCAGCTATTTTAAACATGGAATTGTACTCCGAGTTCGAGATGCTAAGGCAGTGCCTTGTAAAATATCTTAGAAATCTTTTATCTGGAAGGACACAGTCTTTGATTCGTTAAGCTGAACTTACAATTTGTGCATTGTACTTCTTCTCGTTGTACACGAGATACCAGAGAAGGGAGCTCTGCCAATCAGTTCAAATATGACATTTTTCCTATAATTTTATAACAACCTTTTGGAGGTTTAATTTCAACCTCCTTCTTTTAAATTATGGACTTGAGAATTTTCATCTTACAACTTCTTCATTGTGTTTTCTCTCCTTTTGTGTGGTACGTATTTTCCTCAACTTCTCCTCAACAATGTACTCAACTTAGCTTTTAAAATGACCCTCAAGAAATGCTACAAACTCTTGCAAATACTTTTTGATTCTAGCAATTCAGCTGCCTCAGAAGCAGTACATTTATGTAGCTAGTTATCTGATATCTGATATCACCTGGATATTTTATTAAACAAAAAAGCATGCAACTGCTTTCTATTCAGTCATTTTCAAGTACACTGAACTGTGATAACTGTGGTGAAAAGCTTATTTCTTGTTAAGCTTCTGATTTAAAACAGTGCAGGCTGCAGCATAACAAGTGAAAGGGGAACTGAATACTCACACGAGGCAACACTTGCTATTATTACGGTTGGATGTACGAGGTAACTGTAGTGCTTTTCCCTTCCCCAGCTTTAATGGCTTAAAAACTTAATACACAAACTGATTGGTGTTACTAAGCTCTCTAAATTTCTATCCGTAATGTTTTTGTGTTTGTGCAGTCAAAGTTGCTTGCTACAGTTAAGTCATTACATCCCCTAAATTTGTTTTTTGTACTTAAATAAAGAAATAAACACAGAAGAAATGTTTACTGCTTCCTCTTTTTCCTTGTGCCCAGAACTAGCTGCCTCTCAAATGATCCAGAAATGACTTCAGTGGAGCAGGAGTAAGAATTTATGTCTAATACCATCATTTCATTACAGCATTATTTCACAACCATGCTTCTAGGAATAGAGACTGGGTAGACTCCATAAAGTTTTCTGGAGAACTAAATCATTTTACATTTATTTTCAGGAACTTGATTCAATATATCCAAGTAAAAAAAGCACCACAATTGAGATTTTTTTGTTTGCATTACAGATGTCTTTGAAGTATTCTTGGCCATTATCAAACAGAGATAGATGTAGTCGTTATCCTGAGGATATTCAGGTTGTGTGAAAGACTGAAATAAGAAGTTCAACATGATCAGGGTGAAGTTGATGTCATGCATTCTTCTCAGTTAAAGGGTGATAAAATTGCCTTTCTTACTAGGAAGTTTGAAAAGTGTTAGTTTTCTCTTTAATTTCTGGATTATATCCTCAATACGTTTCTTGTCTTTTCTTTATGTGCTTAAAAGCTTGCTCTCCCCCCCTCCCCTTGCTCCCCCCAAAAAGTTATTTCCCTAATGACATCTCCATTATCTTCATTTTATTAGTTTTCAAAGCCAAAATGATTCCTTTGGAAATAGGAATGTGTCTGTCTGTCCTCTTGCAAACTGTTCTTCTGTCTGATGTCATGACTAAACATGCAAGTGAAAAACCCTGTACTGTTTTACTGTGCACTGGTGGGACTGTTTTAGCCATAGCTGGTCACAACGCACGAAAAGTTTGTTTGATTGGACAGCAGGAGGACTCATCACTGCAGTAGTCTGTACATTGGTGATGAGTGTCTCCACAGAAGTGACTTGACTTTGCTGTCCCTACCCCTGTGTCCTGAATTGAAATACTGTTCAGAAAATAGCAGGCACCTAACTCTTCAGTAAAAGATCCCATCAGGAAGTGAATTTGAAGGAACCAAGCAATTGACTAGAAAGCAGACACATAAATAACATGGAGTTTCTTTTGTCTCTTTTTTTTCAAATAAAGTTGTGTGTCAATCAATCAACCACCACAGGTCAGAACTATAAATTAACATTCTGATTCCTAGAGCAGTTGACATAAGATCTCTAAAGATCTTTTTCCTTTTCCCCTCAGACACAGTTTATTCTGTAATGAGTCAATATGAGAAGCATTTTTTGTAAAGAGAATGGAGAATAAATAACATATTGAAGACTGTATTTATGACTTAAGCTTTTTGATGGCTTGAAAAAATTTTCTTCTTCTGAGACTAGAATTTTTACCTAGCTCAAATAAATACAGTTGAGACTGAATTAATGCTAGTTGTTTTCTCTCTCTAAATATGTATCCATTTTCAGAAGTGGCAATGATTTCTTCTGCAGTCGTATCACTCATTTGTGGAGTAGTTTCTGTGGGAAATAATATTATCTTCACAGTGATCATGGCAGTTTTACACAGCTTTTTTGTCTGTATGCTTTCTGCTGAAATCTCTCTGGAGTCTGCCCAACTATTAGTTTTCTTCTGCAGCCTTTTTTTTATGTTTCTTGTCATCCTGTGTGCTATTTTGTTTTAACATCGTGCACTGCCTCATGACATTTTTTAAAATGTGCATTATGAAATATTCCACAGGAAAGAATTACACGTGTTCTCTTCCCAGGTGGTGAATATTCAGAATGTTGTTTAAATAGTTACACATTCTAAGAGGGAAATGGTGTTTGCAATATTTGTGATGACAACTTTTTATTGTATAGAAAACTTCAAAAGAATTTGATGACGTTGTTTTTACTACATGGCAAAAACATAGTTCTGGAGATGTGTTTACAGGCATCCACTTCTTACCATACAGTTCTGTCATTCCATCAGCGTGTATTTCCACATTACATGTCCAGTGCTACTCAGATTGAAATTGCTGGAATGTAGTTACTGACAGCAAGCTAGCAGTAGCAGTTCCTGATGTACTTTCTACATGAGGTAGATAGGATCTGTGTAAATTGACACTGACGCATTTAATGTAAATGAGAGATGAGGATGCCCAACGTTTTATGGGAGCTTACAATTGCAGAAATGACCAACCATGTTTTCTATCCTACTGATTTATTTTCTTTTTCATTTCTTGTTGTTTTTTAACATATAGGCTTGACATGACCCTGAAATAAAAAGCATCACTGCCAGATCTTTGAAGAAGAGGACTTTCATCGCTCAGACACCCATGATCATGGTGTACAATAGGAAATTTAATTCATTTTGCTTGTGATATAATTTTTTGGTGCCATTTAGCAATCCAAGAAGATGAAACAGCCCCATCATGTTGCCTTGGAAACAAGAAATTTGGAGCTGGCTATTTTTTTATTTTCAGAAATAGAGTTTTTGTTAGAAAAGCTATAACATCTAGTATTGGTTTCTGTAAGTGTATGCAAATTCTGTTTCAGATTATAGAATTTTGCAAACGTTATGCCTCATGAATGAGTCAATGAGGACATAGATTTTTATTTAATTTTTGTCTTCAGCATAGTACTGTTTCTGCATAAAGAGCAAAATAGTTATTATTACAATAAATATTAGCATAGTTGTTTCACACAGCAGCAGCAACCTTATTGTTCCAGAATGATTCTAAAAATGAAGCAGGATTTCAGTGAGTGTGTTTTTCTCTTGGTGTATGAAAAGTTCTTCCATATTCTTTTAAACCTAATGACTTTTTATTTGGCCACAGGAAAGCCTGTGTACTAAAAATCGTAAGTGTTTAAAATGTTTCCCAGATCAAAAGTTGCTGACAAAAATTAGTTTCATTTTAATAATTTTGTTCAGTGTCTTTATCTTAAGGACAGGTTTTACAGAAGCAGCTAGTCCTTTAAAAGTTTATCAAATGATCTAAGATCCTTGAAAGATTGTTTTATTATTGTTGTTTTTTAAAGCCTGTTTTTCCAGAACATTTTTAAGTAATGAATCTCCAAATGGCATCCTATCTGGAATCACAGCAGTTGCAAATGCTATGAATACAGAACAATTACTTAGTACTTCTCACAATTATTTGTTAAGAGGAGATGTCAAAATATTATTTGGAGTCTATTTAATATCAAAAATACTT